TCCTCTGGCTCTATATTTACTTTTTAGAAAGTGGATAACATACACACCAGAATGCATGTGCACTCACACGTGTGTGCATGCATGCACACACACACACACACACACACACACAAACAAACAAACTTTTCACCTTTAAACAAAATCAATGTTGCATTTTCAATCAGTGCATGAATACAAAATGTTCAAAATTTTTAACTCTCCTAATCATATTGCACATCTATATTTTTGAAGTTATTCTTTAGTCTCATAACCTTAAGTATAAACTGACCATTGATTTCTTTTTATTTTACTGTTTTCTCGGTGCATTTAAGCTTCTTTTTGTGAGGAATATGCATAATGGAGATATTATCTCAATGGGCATTGTCAATGTCCAGCTATAAAATTTCCTTTTACATGTGTTATTGGCAACTTTGTTATTATGGTACTGACAAAGCATGAAGGAGGAGAGAGAAATTCATGACTTACTGAATGTCTTAATTTCAAAATGCAGGCAACCCGAGGAAGTTCTAAATTTCTATGTAAGACTGTATCTACACTATAGCAAGTAAATAACTTTTCCTGAAATTGCTCAGTAAGTACAATCACTCCATTTCTTTTCTATTGGATAATACTTTTCTGAAGATAGAAGTGCTCTAATTTGGCTTTCAGTTATTCAGATACTACCTTTCACTTGGAAGTAGTATGATTATATTGCTCCCTAACTTTCTTAAAATAATTAAACTATTTAATCCCCAAAGTGTAAATGTGCTAAAACTTGCTAATTTTGACCACAACACACCCTGCTGAAACCTCTCCTTTGAACCAGTACATAAAGCCTACACACCTGTGGATAAAGAAGAGCTAACAAAACAATGATTATCCATCTTTATAAAGTCCAGCATCATCCAAGGGATATGGTACATACCTGTTCATAAAGATGACTGACTAGAATAGTAATTAGTAATGACAGCACTGTGAAGGCAATGATTACCATATCTCCATTATGTATGACATATTTGAATTGGGGGTGGTATGCTTACTAGTCAATCCCAAGGAAATAGGATCTGTTTCATTACTAAAGGGAATATAAATTTCTGCAAATATTTTAAGAAATACCCTGCTAAGATCTATTAAAATGTAAAAATGCACATTATTTTTTTAAAGTTTTTTTAACAAATCTTCCCCCAAGGATGTAAGTTTTTATTGATTTGAGAGAGAGAGAGAGAGAGAGAGAGAGAGAGAGAGATGAGAGAAAAATATTAATCATTTGCCTCTTATTTGCTCCTGACTGGGGATCAAATCCCCAACCGTTCTGTGTATGGGATGATGCTCCAACCAACCAAGCCACACAGCCAGAGCAATGTGCACTATTTTTTAAAATATATTTCTTTTTATTGATTTCAGAGAGGAAGGGAAAAGGAGAGAGAGATAGAAAAATCAATGAAAGAGAAAATCATTGATTGGCTGCCTCCTGCACGCCCCTTACTGGAGACCCAACCCGCAACCCACGAATGTGCACTTGGCCATAATCGAACCTGGGACACCTCAGCCTACAGGCTGATGCTCTATCCACTGAGCCAAGCCAGCTAGGGCAATGCAGACTATTTTTGATTTACTATTTCCACTATTGAATATCTATCACACAGAAATAAGGAAACAGTACATACCTATATCTAAGTATATTCCTTTTAGTGCCCAATCACATACACACATCACATGAAAATTAAGATAATTTCTAAAAATTTAAAATTAGGTAAATTTTATGTACTAATATGCAGGTATTTTTTTTAAATCTCTTTATTGCTTAAGGTATTACATATGTGTTCTACTCCCCCATTACCACCACCCCCCCACTCATGCCCTCACCACCTGTTGTCTTTGTCCATTGGTTAGGCTTATATGCATGCATACAAGTCCTTTGGTTGATCTCTCCCCTTTAGCCCCACCCTCCCCTACCTTCCCTCTGAGGTTTGATGGTCTGATTTCTTTGTCTCTGGACCTGATATCTCATTGACTCTTCCATATTTTCCACTGACCTGTCAGTTCTTTTTTTTTCTCTAAACTCCAGTATTGTTTTTAACTCTATCCCTGTTTT